GTGGTAGTGGCTGTAGGCATTACTTGCGAAGCAACGAATGGCATCGGCATTTGCAATTGGGGATTAACAGGAAGAACTCCTGGTGCAGACATTAGAGGGAACCCTGCAGTTGCTGGCTGTAATGGATTGAAGCGGGCTGAGGGAACACACATGATTGGAAGGCCTGTTGTTGAGTAGCACATATTAACCATTCCCATTCCCATTCCATACGCATTGCTCGTTCCCATGGGCACATACGACATGAATTGAGGTGTTTGTGTGCTTTGCATCCCAGCCATGGACAAATTTGAAGCCTGGTACAGAGCTCCTCCACCCATGGACATCATCTGATGTACATAAAAATGCATACACAGTATCACTATTATTGAGTTGGGCAATTCAAAGTTTAATTGAACAGACACCTGCACGCATATAACAAAAATGCAGAGAGAGAGAGAGAGAGAGAGAGAGGATACTTGTATTTGAAGCTTGAGGGCTTTAATATGTTTGATGGCATCATCCAGCATTGAAGCTCGGTCTGACTAAAATTTGAAAAGCACAATTGGTTCAGTAACAATGAGAAGAAGGAAACAATTAATATGTAGAAGATGAGTCTCAGCTTGCTCATCATCCTAGTCAGCAGCATAATCTACAGAGTCATCAAACAAATAGTTCTGTGATCATACATACATACATAATATACATACATATATATACATATATATATACTTATTTTATACAAACAGTAAGTGCTGCACAAATTATGTTCCCGAAGTTGAAGACATGAACATTCAGTAGTAATTTTGTATGAGTGGTAGATTATTTTCCTGAAACTTATTAATTAAACAAATCTAAAGCAAGGAGATAATTATTAATGAATGAAATGAAACCACCATTACCGTGTTACAGTTGGGTATAAGTTGCTGCAATGCTCCCAGCTTCCCCCGGATTTTCTTCCTACGCTTCTGCTCAAAACAAATGTAATTAATAAAATATAAAGTGCAATTAATTAATCCTGTTTTAGCTGTGGTAATAGTGTACAGCAGGCTTAATACCCTCTCAGACATATTATGTAGTTCAGCAGCACGTGTTCTTTTGGGCCGGTCGTCTTGCTTTTGCCTAATTTCTCCAGACACTGTTTTTGTCTCCTAATAAAAAAGAGGAAGTTAGTAAAAATGATTAAAAGAAAGTTCCGAAGGAGAAACTAATTGAAAGTAGTATTTAATTTAATTTAATTTAATTTGTACAGACAGACCATAAAACGAGAGGTGGTTTTTAGTCCACTGGACGATTCTCCCTTGTCGAAATCACATACTAAGTGTTTGTCGGATGAAAAAATAGCATTGGGTGTAATTGTTGGTTCAAGCTGAATATTGGACAAGTCTTCAAATATTTCTTGAAAACACTTGGGATTATGATCTTCTGCTGCTCCAGTTGCACCACTAGCACCACTAGTATTAATATTCCAAACAGAATAATCATGATCAGTTTCAGTTTGAGGATGTGGATGATGATGAGGGACAACAGAATCAGGAAGCGGGCCAAAATCTTCATATTGAAAACTCTTAGAAGAATCACCCTCTTCCGTGGTGGTGGTGGTGGCCCAGTCGGGCACTTGGTGCGTCATATAATGAAGTGTAATGGGCAACCGCCACGTGGCTAGAGCACAGGGCACAAACGCAACGCACTCAGAGATATTATTCGGATGAACCGTCAAGAGAACTTGGTTTAATGGTAAACTAATTAATGCAAGTGGCCAGGAAGATTGATATGGAATGAACAAGGTCACTATTCCCAGGTGGATATGTGTGGTTAGTTTTCGCGGGTGCCGCTTAATATTTTTCGAAGGACAATGCATGCAGAATGAGGATAGAGAGCGGGAATTCGAAGGGAGGGAATGAACCAACAGAAAAGTATCATTGGACTGCCTGTCGAACGTATGGTTGGACTTGGGGAGTGGCTCTTGCAGCTCTTGTAGTTGTCTATTTGTAAGGGAAGTAATGTTGGGTTGCATTGCATTGCATGCGTGGTTGTGGTTGATATTCGGGTTTAGGGACAGCTGCCTTCACTCAGTCTGCTTCTCGTATGAACCCAGACTTCAGCAGCGTATCTCTTGGGGTGGTGGGTCCTCTCACTACTTCCTTTTGTCCCTTAGTTGGACTACATGTCGGGTACAGCTCGACACACGTGGACATTCTATGACTCGTGTCGACTCACGGAGCTCCCCACATCAGAAAAATCCCAATCTAATTTACTGTTATTTTCTTCTTTGTTTTGTTCGCAACCTCCTTACTATTTATTCATCAACTTGAACCCTCTCGTTACGCTTACGATATTCATAAATTCTAATGCATGTTACTATATTAAAATTAATATATACGCCGGCCAAAACTCAGTCTGAGTCTGAAGTTATATTGGAAAGTGTTCCACGTGAAGCTGACGAACAAATAGGGCATGCAGATGCAGTTGCTGTCTTGTGTGTGTTCACTTTCACTTTCACTTCCACTTCCAATTCCAATTCCAATTCTAATTCCTTACTTACCCAGGGCCTATCTCTATCTCTCAAACCCAGACCACAGCACCGTTCTTGTCTTGCGTCTTTATTCGGCTATCTATACCACATTTATTCATCACATTGCTACAACCTCTTTAATAGAGATTAGCCCTACCTGTATATATGGGACTCACTTGGCCAATCAAAAAAATTTAACATATAGAATCAAAGAAAACAGAGATTAAGAATTCAATACGATAACTTGAAACTCAATAACTTAACATCCACAAATCTGAATATTTGAATTAGGGCACCGTCCTAGCCCGAGCGCACATTAAAATTTGGAAGTTTAATAACCTTAGAACTATTAATTGCAGCTCCTTTTACTATTTGTCTTTGCCGTGACTTTGCGAGTTTTGATTGCTTGTTTTGTTTCGTTTTGTTTAATCTCTTGCTTGCTTTCGAATTGCAGCACCCTTTTTGAGTTCTTAGTTGTGTTTCATTTTGTTTTTATTTTTAGTTAGTGTTAAGTGGTTGAGTCTCGAATGAAGTTAAGTTAAAGAACTAGAATTGATCACTAAATGACACTCGCATTTGCATTACACTATACTATAGATCAATTCATGTACTTGCAAGTTTTAATTTGATTTAAATTGATCTAATATTTAGATTGGTTCGAACACACATCAAGCTTTTGATGCCATTATCGGGGATGTAGTCAGTAAATATGATACAAATAGTAATTCGGTTATGACTCTGGCCTATGTACGTTCTCTTTGCGTCCCTGCCTCGGGCCTTTATAAATTTATCTGTGCAGACCCAAAAAAATTTGCAATTGCCTTGCAAATATATGCCAGGATCAGGTCGGTCTTTTTATTTAAAATATGAAAATAAATAAATACATGAATGGATTTGTCATGCCGACAAAACGAGAGTATATGAATGATTCATGAATGAAGTGAATGAATGAATAAATAAATATAGAGTTTTTATCACAAATGGTCCTTGAGGTTTGCCAAATTATCACTTTTGGTTCTTCTTTTTTTTTTTTTTTGACATTATTGGTCCCTTATGTTACACCTCACACATCAATTTGGTCCCGCTGTCAAGTTCAGTCAAAATTTTCCGTTAGACTGCTGACATGGACGCCACTTGGATTAAACAATGTTTTAAACATGTTGGGTTTTATTACAAATAGTCCCTGAGGTTTGCCAAATTATCACCTTTACTCCTTTATGTTTTTTTTATAGACATTTTTGGTCCTATATATTTTTTAAAAATAATTGAACATTTAAAATCTTTTAGAAATTTTTTAATTAAAAAATAGAATTTTCAAAACATAATTTGTTTTTCATTCAAATCCACTTGGCATGTTATTATTGGACATGTATGCTCCATATACATGTCATGTCATGTCAAATTCGTTATTTTTTGTTAAATTGATGAAAATTTCAACATAACCTAACGGATTTGACGTGACATGTATGTGGCTACATGTCCAATAATAACATGTCAACTGGATTTGAATATAAAAAAATTTATGTTTTGAAAAAAATTCCTCATTTTAAATGTTAAACTATTTTTTTTTAAGGGTTTAGGGTTTTTCAACAAAACCTAATGAATTTGACGCTACATATATGTGGAGCCTATATGTCCATTAATAACATGCCAAGTGGATTTGAATTTATTAAAAAAAAAATGTATGTTTTGAAAATTTTCTCTATTTTTTTTAAAAAAAATTAAAAATATTTTAAATGTTAAACTATATATTTTTTTAAACATTTCTTTATTTAGATCCACTTGACATTTTCTCATTGGCTATGTGTGCACCACATATGTGTCATGTCAGTAATTTAACAAAAATATTCAACGAAATCTCACGGTGGGATCAAATTGATGTGTGAGGTGTAACAACATAAGGACCAATAATGTCAGAAAAAAAATATAAAGAACCAAATGTGATAATTTTGCAAACCTTGGGGATCATTTGTGATAAAACCCAAAATATTTAAAACATTGTTTAATCCAAGTGGCATCTACGTCAGCAATCTAACGAAAAATTTTGATAGAGCGTGACGACAAGACCAAATTGATGTGTGATGTGTAACATAAATGACCAATTATGTTAGAAAAAAAACATAAAAGACAAAAGATGATAATTTGGCAAACCACAGGACCATTTGTGATTTTTTTAAAAAAAAGCCAAAATATATATAATAGAAATGCCAAATGACGCATGACATGAGATGAGATGATAGGAAAACCGAAGCGAAGACCTCACCTCCATTGTCAACAACACCACCTTTCGTAAGTAATTGCCGCAATTGCGGATCTCTAGCTTTATGAAACGAGACCGCTCTCTCTCTCTCTGAGACTTTCTTTCTTAATTGTTCTCATTTTTGGTAAAGAAAGTCGGCTTTCCTTTAGTCAGTCGGTCATTGTATTTGTACAACTATGTATGCTTAAGTCATGATAAATAATAAATAAATAAAAACTACGTATGCTTATGATGTGGTGCTTCCTTGAATAATAAATCTACTTAAATCTCATATCACAATTTGGGTTGACCATATATATATACCATACAGTATATATGCTATATTTATTTACACGTCTCCATCTCCAACACGGTGAAGTGTGTGATTGGCCACAATATTATGATACGAGGGCATCGGATATAAATGATTCTTGCCGTCCTAGGAAAGAAGGAAACAGAGTCTTATCGATAATATTATAGCAGTGAGTCAGCTTATCATCAATTCAAAGCCTTTTTCGAAAAACCTTATCAGCCATTTCTGCGCACACACACACAGACTGAGACAGACAGACAGACAGAGAGAAAGAGGAGGCAGATAAGATAGCCATATCATATTACGTATGGTGAGGGACTGGAAAGAGTTGTTGGCAAGAAGAGGGCATGGAGATGGAGGTAGTGGGAGTGAGGAGATTAGTTTAAGCAGCAGCAGTGCAGCTTTTCTGATGCTGTTCTTGTGGGCAGCTTTCGTCACCTTTGCTGTTATCTCAGCCATCATCTTCTCCTGTGCAGATGGTGTTCCCAAAGACAAAGCCTCCTCCGCCACTGGTACCCACGGCGCTACGTGCGCCGCTGCAGGCTGCAGCGCAGGCTGCGGTGCTTGATCAGAAACAGAGCATCAGCATCAGTGGTTTCATCTCTTGATTTCTTCCTTTTTCTCGGCTATGATTAATTGAATTGTTGCTTATTTCAAAGATAAAAGTTGCTTTCCATTACAGTTACACACGAGTGTGCTTATCATGATCACGAATATATTTTTCCACCCAGGGCCTTCTTATCTGGGTTTTTTTTTAATTTTTTTTAAATTTCAGTGGTTGACATGTTGCCATGACAGCGTTTGTTTGGTTGGGCAAGTCACATCAAGATTAGATGTCTCTTCCTCTTCCTCTTACCACCCATATGTGTTTGTTCCCATCTACAAATTTCATCTTAATATTATCAATTCAACGAATGGTTTCTAATCAAAGAGATCACCTCCATATTCCAATAATGAATATATATAAAACACCAATTTAAATCTTATACACACTCACACGCTTGCAGGTTTTAAAGTTTAAGATAAACATTACTTATGGATGGATACTCTAGTTCTTGTATCGCCTTTTATTCACCCAGGCAAGTCAGCAGCCATGCTTTTCTTTTCTTTCAGAATCATATGTTGGAGGCAGGCAGAAGCCAATGCTTTGGTCTAAAGCTACTGCGACATTTACTTCTCAAGTCGTTTCCTAATTTCAGTGGAGGATAAATCCATGCGGAACTTCTCTTCTGGTATTGAGATGAACATATCTCTTAACTCCTCTGGAATATCAAAATCTTCAAGAACCTGACAAGGTTTTATGAATAAGAATTAACAACTTCCATAAAGGATAAAAATGAGTCGTTGGAAATGCGAAGAAAGTTTGTCAAGCTTCTAATATGTGAACATACCTTGAAAACACCATCCACATTACGACCACCCACGAGAAAAGTGGACCCTGTTTTCTTGCATCCAACAAGTATCTCCAGCATCTTCTTGTAGTCCCCGTCATAGTATTTGGGCTGGAAAGGAGGAAAAATTAACTTCAATGCTTCCATTCACAATTCAAAGATTACTATATATCTCAAAAATCATAAATCGAAAGAAGTAATATTTCAATATTCTATTAAACCACCTATTAGACAGATTTGATTCTGTTAAGGTAGTGATTAAATCCTTCCATATGGAATCAAATCAGCATGCATATCCACATACAAATGTCACAAGAAAACCGTGCATTATACAATTATAATTTGTTAAATAACATACATTAATCAGCCTTTCTGCTGTGTCAGCACCAATCACAAAAGCACTGCCTGGGAAAAGTTCAGCTTTCTTATAAAAGTATGGCTGATTGGATATAATTACTGTTTCTCCTGTCATTAAAAAGAAAGATGATTGGATATAATTACTGTTTTGCCCCAGAAAATTTCACGCATTCATCCCGTATCATGACTCATTATCCCCACACAATCAGGAAATTGAACAGGAAAAAGAATTGAAACAGATAATCAGCCTCACCAACGTTCTCAAACTGCTTGACACGATCTTTGATTTGTGATGTTGAAAGTGGAGGTTTGTCAGCATTGACTGCTGATATTTCAAAGCATGGGTAGCTATTGCCACATAAGCTGCATAGAAATGAGTGATGGATGAGCAGCACTATACACAAGTGATATGATACATACGTTTGTGCATGTGCATAAGATCCAGAAGAAACAAAGCAAATATAAAAGATGAAATGATAAATCTCCCCAGAAAGAGTCTTGTCATCATCGACAATGTCAAAATAAATTGTATGTGGGTGTGTGATGAGAAAGAAAGAGAGATCAACAAACCTTCATCTGGCCCTGCTGCAACTCAGTTGCAGTTTCCCAAAGAAACCCAGAAAAACAAAACATTGACGGAAATTTTAGAAAAAGAAATGGAATCTGTTGTACCTAGTAGCAACCTTCAAGAGCTTCATGTGACCTTCATGTAATGGATTAAAAGAACCAGACAGTATTATCTTCCTTTCTGCAGTTGACATGTGTGGCTCTGCAAAACAGTTGATGAAAAATAAAGCATTATGCACAAGCACAGGACCACACTGACACACGTGTGAATATAGTGCATAATTGTGCTAGTAAAGGTCAAAGCATACCACTCGAAAATGGATAAACCTTAAAGCATATTTGCCCATTTATAAGTTGCTCCAACTCTTCATCTTCACTGAACTGCTTTTCACATTCATCAGGTACTTCGGAGTCAGTGAGCTCTGAAACAAATGTTCCGGGAACTTTACATGCATTTGCAATTGCCTGTAACCAAATTGATAGAAAGGCTGCATAAGAAACAAATTTAAAATATGAGTTTAAGCAAACCACATTTAGCAAAAATATGAAACTAATAAGGGGATGGCATTATGCTGCTAAATATTCACTTCCTATATTTAAGGTCTCCAGAGTAATTAGTAGAAATCTTCTCAGACCTTGAGTAAAAGATGACTTGCAACCATATCTTCTTCCTCTCGATTTCGTAAACCCTAGAATGATAAGAAGCATGTTATAAGAAAATGAAAAACTTGAAAATCTTAGTCAAGACCAAAATAAATGACAATCACCTTAGAAAGGGTCACCATTGATACCCAGAGTCTGTCAGATGTCCTTGTTGACAAGTGAAGCCTATACATCAAGAAAAAAGCATGAAGCTAAACAGGCCCAGGTTGACCAAGCATGAAGTAAAAGCGACATCAACAAAACAAGCCCTTATGGAGGTGTTATGTGCGTAGAATATCTTGGAGTAAAACAACAAAACAAAATACAATGATACAATGACACCAACCAATTGCAGGTGTCATGTTGCAAAATGCAGCTTCTTAGCAGGATCCCTTGATTATGTCAAGCAAGTAATAAACGTTCCCATTTTTGTTTCTACCCTGATTACTTGGTGCCTTTATTCATGCCTGCCTCAGAAAATCGGCTTAAGACTAAGTTGTGAAGTCACTGCCATCATAAGAATACCAAAAGAACAGACCATTGAAAAAAGGACCCTGACAATAATCCTAGTAACTTACGTAGTAAAAACCAATGCTGAGTTGCTTTATGAAACAATAACTAATGAATTTCTGTCACTTTGACGATCAGGTACACTTGTAAAGATAAAGAAATTTAAAAAGATTGGCTAAGGGCCTAAGACCATAACAACAAACAACAACTACATATCAATGTTTGCACTGTCCCTGAACTTTCCAGCTACATAGAAGAAAACTGTATATATATATACAAAGAGCTTCCATTAAGGGATCCCTCAAATAAGCTTATTTGACGGACACCCCTTGTAGGCCCCACTATGGATTGTATTTCACTAATCCAAACCGTCTATTTTGTAGATACTCATTCAAAGATCATCTCTACAAAAAATCACTTGAATCCGATATCATTTGACCACTCAATTAAGTTATTGAAATTTTAGTACTTTCTTGAAGCACCGTGTTCATTGATTTTTTAAGACAATTGGATGTCGAAACGGTTTCCGATTTGTCTAATTTTTTGTAAGGATAATCTATAAATGAAGACCTAAAAAATATATGATTTGGATCATTGGAAAAAAAATTGTAAGGTACCCTAAAGGGCGTCCCTCAAATAAAATTATTTGAGAGATCCCTCAATAGAAGGGGACTGTTTATATATATCAAATGATATTGGATTCAAGTAATTTTTTTGTAGAGATTATCTTTGAATGAGTATGTACAAAATAGACGGTTTGGATTAGTGAAATACAATCCGAAGTGGAGCCTACAAGGGATATCCCTCAAATAAGCTTATTTGAGGGATCGGATCCCTCAATAGAAGCTCTCTGTGTGTGTATATATATATATATATATATATATATATATATACAAATATCAATTATAATTGGAATAGTTAATGTGAGGTAGCCAAAGTACCAGTAAAACCCACACCAACAACCGGAGAACCTATTGCAAATATAATAAAAATGCCATATCAGTTCACAAGTTGCATTCACATATACCTATAAACATAAAATGTGTGTTCGTCAGTGCGTGTGGCTACAGATGACACCTAGTAGGACTGTGTTTGGCACTAGGGTGTACAGAAAGTAGAAGTTCCCCACATGATGCAAAGGTAGCTACACAATTAAGCATACAAAATTCATATTACAGTGTTAGGTCCTAATAAATTCTTCTGAACCCCAATTCAGTATGCAAGTATAAGAGTATATCTAATGCATAACCTGGTGAGGAGAGCTTGAGAGCGCGATTGTAGGCCAACAAAGCCATTTCTTCAGCAGTGTGTGAGCTACAAAACTGGTTCGGAATCTGCCCCAAAAAAGCAACCAAATTTATAATTTTTGAAAGAAAAAAAAAACAGAACTTTTTTGTTAAATTATACAAAAATTAGAGCGAGAAACAGAAGAATTAAACAAAAGGAGAGGACGAACCTTCCCGAGTAACTGGATCATAGACATTCTGGAGTAGGGCACCACGGCTTCGAGGACTGTGCTTGAGGCTCCAGGAACGGATAGCAGCCACGCAACAGCCTGATTTATATTACTAGTTTTAATTAATTAATCTTCATGAATTCTTCATCATAATTAATTAATTAATCTTAATATGTATGTATATATGAGGAGAGAGAGAGAGAGAGAGAGAGAGAGAGAGAGAGAGAGAGAGACCAGAGAGAGGCTCCGCCAGAGAGATAGAGGACGGACTGCGTGGGGCTTGCGTGAATGGCTTCCACTACTGTTTTCAGTCCCGTACTGATTATCATACCTTCCCTCATTTTCTTCTCCTCTCTTCTTCCTTCAGCATCATCCATTTCCTTCCTTCTTTAGTTCAGTCTTTTCTTCTGTCTGCTAGTCCGCGCTGGAAGAGAGAGAGAGCCTGTTAAACGGTGTGGTCAGCTTCTTATTTATTTAACGAGTTTTTTAACTTTTACGCGACCATTCAGCTCTTCAAATTGCCCAAGGCCCAAACAGTCATAATGGGCTCTAGGCCCATTCCATTCCAATAATAAAGCTGAAGCCCAACAAAGGCCCATTCAGCCAAGTCGTTTAAATCGTTATTCTTCATTGTTGTCCGTTGTCAGTTGTCAGTGCACGACTTTGTAGGGTCTATCGTTGAAGAAATTGATATGACATGGGAGATTTCATCCGAGATAGACGGAGGTATTTTCCTTTTCGTGTAAGCAATCAATAAAATGGATTGTCGTAACTTTGACGAGGATCTTCGCCGCCTATAATTCAGCTAATTAATTACACTAATAAGATTAGTCAAGTAACGAACTAGAAACTAGAAAGAAAATCACTCACTATAAGCAGAGAAGAAAGCTGAGAAGAAAGCTGATTGCTTTTTCGCTGCTGAAAATTTGAGAGAAAAGGTAGCTTTAATGAAAGCAACTTCGTGCTGTAAAGCTTCTCTCTCTCTATCTCTCTGTCTTTTTGTAGAACTTTGGTGGTGTGGTGGTCTCGAGCTGGAGGAGCCTAGTGGGCCTTGTCCTCGCCAACCCTTTGAGGCGTGAGCAGCATGTAGCCTAAAATTCTAGACTCTCCAACTTAATCAATAATGGTTGCCTAATTATGCGTCCTTATTTCCTGATTATGAATCTAATCAACAGAGTAACGGCATAAATAATGTAGAGGGTAGAAATAGGATACTGTTGAGTTGTACTGCAAGCAAGGAATCAGATTATTCATCCTTGTGAATCTGTGATGGTGACAAGACAACACCCACCAGCCAGCCCTACACAAATTGTCCATATGTTATATCATTAATTAGCATATGAGCATTGAGGAAGGAAGACCATCAGCGATAACTTCTGTGCTGTGTGTAGAGTAAATCAATTCATGTTACACAACGTTGTTTGTCTCTACTCCAGAACACAACTTACCAACTCAAATGCAGCCAACGTAAGCTACATTGCTTTTCAAATTAGTTTAAAACTGATTAAAAAGGTACATAAAAGAAAAAAAGGAACAACTTGGTCCTTGTACAGTATGAACCTTTGAACCAGAGCGGAGACCAGTTAAAGTGAAGGATGCCATGTCCTAATCTTTAAGCTATAGTTTACACTTCAGAGCATCTCCAGCGCAGGTCGGGCTAGGGGGGAAAGGCTGCCCGACGCAGCCCGAGTTCACTCCAGCGCAGGGCCCGTAGCCCGGTTTGGTGGTGGGTCCCACGAGCCCGAGCAAGCCCAAGGGCAACTTCTGCCTGGGCTGAAGCCCGAGTTTTGTGACGTCAGCGCACAGTAAAACAGTTTTTTTTTTTTTTTTTTTTTTTTCCCAAAAAAATTCGAAAAAATTTTAAAAAATTTTGAATTTTTTTTTTAAAAAACCAAAAAATTATTTTTTTTTTCCTTTAAA